ACTTAAACAGAACCACTGGCTGGTAGCTCAGAGTGCACCAACCAATGGCTTCTATTCTTTCCCATTTTAAACAGGAACCTTTGCGTTAAACCTGAAGTTGTGATTCAAAGAACTTCATCTTTCAGACGGGATGAGTTAGAACCAGCTGCTTATGCAGCTATAATTCTCCATGTTTATATCCATTTTCATCTTCCACATTAAACCAGTAAAAATGGAGATGAATGCATGATGAGTTCATCTTTGCCTGAAAATCCCTGCAGCAGCTGGAAACCGTTTACATCCAACCAAATGTTCGACTTTAAAAATTATTACACATGAGCACAGTGTGGTTGGAAAATTTCTAATTTCTCTTATTTCTTATAATAATTTATGCTATTTAATCACTGTTAAAGTTTTGTTGTGAGGGTGTTTTTAGACAAGACATACCCTTTTCCCATATCAAGCCAGATTCTTTCTCAAGGTTCATAACATAACATGTTTGACCAAAGTGTCTGTAATTTGTTTTGACTCTGAAAACTTTCCATTATTGTAACTAAGGGAGATGGAACGCTGCCCAGGCAGAACAGGGTTGATTACCGTGCAATAAGAGCTGTATGATGAACTTTTCTCTCTTTGCAAAAATGATTAATAAAGTGTCGACTGAATAAAATCCATTGATCATTTATTTAACTGGAGTAAATAGCTGAATACTTGTTTCCCAATACAACAGGTTGGGCTAAAAGCACTCATAATTATGAGCTGAACGGATTAGAAAATAGTTTTGGTCTGCTCTGCTTTTAAAGCTGCTTTCAGCATGCTGAGGTGAGTGCAGCCAGAGCATCAGCATATAGCAGCAGAGGGGCGTATGTCCATCTAAGCTATGAAGCTCGTACCACAGACCATTTCCAAAATGTCTGCTAGGCTGTCTTTGCCGCAGACCGCATGATGCATCCAGTAGAATCAGAACTACACCATAGAGATGCTGCATTACTTGCAGTAACGTGAGTTTCTTTGACACAGAAACAGACAGAAGATTCTAGGGATGCACGATATTGGGATTTTGGCCGATATCCGATATGCCGATATTTTAAAACTCATGTAGCCGATAACCGATATCGATACCGATGTTAAAGCTGGACAAAAATAAGTAGTCATTGAAAATAGCAGTTTTGTTATCCATTTCTGACACATTGAAAAATAATATACTCAAATATATTTTCATATGCTGATATTAAATTGATTTTTAAAAACGCGGTATCGATCTATTTTACTTTCAAAATCTCGTGAAATTTCATCGTTCTGTTACAAACTCTCGTGATATTTTGCTAATTCTTGTGAGATTTTGTTCGTAAAATAGATCCATACCGCGTCAATATATCAACATATGAAAATATGGCAAAATTTCGTGAATTTTCGGGGGATTTCGTAGCATAACGATGACATATAGCAATATTTCATTAGTAAAAGAGATTGATATGGTGTTTTTAAATGGCAATATATCAGCATATGAAGATATTGGGATATTTTAATGTATTAATATTTTTTCCCTCATCTTTAGAAGTTTTTTAGTCTGTAAAAAAGAAGTTTTTGAGGAAGAAGAAGTAGTATTTTTATTTTATTTTTTAGAAACTCAGAAGCTGATCAAATATCGGGTTACATATCGGTTTTAAGGCCGATACCGATAAGGGGCCGATTATATCGTGCATCCCTAGAAGATTCACGTAAGCTCAGAATGATAATCAGTGTATTGATGCATTACATGCTAAATAAAAATCTGTTAGAGCAGAAATTAAATTAACTTTTCTGAATGCACCGTTTTGTCCACCTCACGTATCCCTGCAGATTGTTTCAGGTTATCTGAGGCGCAGTTAGAAATGCAAAAAGACCTCCAAAAGTGACAGTTTTCCTTGTCTGAATTGCTCTATCAGTAGACAGGAGCTCTGGTTTGAGGGGATCTGGATGAGAGGTTAAAACTGAGGTTTTAAGCATTTAGTCAGCCTGAATGAGATACTTCGGCTCTGGACATCAAAACTGCTCTAACATGACGGATGCTGTGGTTTGGTTAACAAACTTTCATCTTCTTCCTCAGTTTAGTTATAAATTTTTTCTGCGAGTCGCTCAGCAGAGAAAGTTTTCTTCTTATCTGTTTTCTGATCATCCAAAACTTCTGTTTCATATCACAAAAGGTATATAAGGTCAATTATACAATTTACCTTAAGCCTCTGAAGTGCAGCTTTCTTTAAAAAACAAAAAACTAACATAGACAGGCTGCTGGTGTAATCAATCGTCAACTTCTACTTGTTCTATATCGCTGTCAGCTGTTCCAACTCAGTGCTTTGTGTTTGGCAGGTTATTTATGATTTTACAGCCTTTAAACTCCTCTCTGCGCTGCCATTTTGCCAGGTTTCTTTCAAAACTGTCATTATATGATACAGTATACTTTAAATATGGATCATTTAACAAAGTTGCACGTTAGATTAAACTGTATTTATCATAAAGCTACAGCTGCAGCCTGCAATGAGTGTTTTCCCTAATGAAACACCTCGCTCACTCAGTCACTAAATTGGGGGTCTAGTCTGGTAAGTCAAAGTGATTTATCTATTTGCCTTGTTTTTACAGATTTATCCGTCACTCTCGTATACAAACTCAGCAGCCAGACAGCTGAGGAACTTGTAGATCATGTCTACCGCTGGATTATGACATAAACAGCTGCAAAGTGTTGCTTTTGAGCTGCTGCTTAGATGAGGTTCAGTGTTTCTAACTACATCAGATAATTTAACATCATTATAGTTATGAGCAGATTACAGACGTGGCGATATCTTTCATTCAGCCAAATAAATCCAGATGATACCAAGATATTAACTTTAAAGGTCAGAGCCACACCTTTTCAATCAAAACGGTTAATTTGTCAATTATTCACAAAGACTTTAGTGTTGCAGAATAACAGTTTTAGTTTATCTAAGAGAAAGTATTGAAATAATTGTTTTAACATTTTTAAAAGGTTCAAAATACATTCAATATTTCCTTCCGGCTAGCATGCATTGGGATCCGGAGATATGGTTAACGTAAGGCCGTCCTACGTGCTCGTCCCGTTAGCCATCTTTTTCTGTGCATGCACACTTTCAGGCATACACACTGCAAAAACTATCTAGAAATAAGTAAAAATGTCTTAAATTAAGTGTATTTACCATTGATTTGAATAGGTAAATTTAATCACTTGTCAATGGGATGAGTATTTTTACCCTTAAAATAAGATATTTAGATAATATGCACTTAAAATAAGACTATGAAGTTCTGTTTTCTTATTTTAAATCTAAATTTTCTTGTTCCGTTGGCAAAATGTCTCTTTAATCACCTCAATTTAAGAACAAATGCACTTATTCTAAGAAAAAAATGACTTATCTAGATTTTAATTAGAGAGCGACGGTTTCAGTCATTGAAGCTCACCTTTCTCACCAAGGTTCTTTGCAAAAGGTCGAGGTGCCTACGAAGTGTATGAGAGGAAAAGGTAGATATATCCCAGAATTCTTTGCACAGACAGCTCTCCTCACAAAGCATTATGGGATTTGCTGTCACATTGGGAAAAAATCTAAATCTGTATAAGTTGTTTTTTCTCAAAATAAGTGCATTTGTTCTTGTTTTGAGGAGGTAAAAGACATTTTGCCAATCGAACGAGACAATTTACACTTAAAATGAGAAAAAACAATTGCATTGTCTTATTTCAAGTGCATATTATATAATTATCTTGTTTTAAGAGTAAAAATACTCATTCCACTGGCAAACTGTCTCATTTACCTACTCATATTAAGGGTAAATACACTTAATTTAAGAAAATTTTACTTATTTCTAGGTCGTTTTTCCAGTGCACAGCGGCCGGCTGTCGCCATAGGCTGTTGCTACCCGACAGTAGCGACTAATAACAAAGATGGCGCAGGCACCGCTCGGTGGAAGCAGAGTCAGTGACAAACAGGAAGCAAAAAGTAGTAATCTGTCCAAATAGTCAGTTAACTGAGTTTGCTATAAAGTCCACTATATAGTCCCCGCTCTATATAGTGATTGAGGGACGTTCGGACACAGTAAGCCTGTATGAGCTATAAGAACAGCAACGTTTAAACAAAGCGTGCACGAGGAGATATGGGCTCCTGCACGCTCTTGCGCGCGTTTAATAGGAGTTCCCTCTCAGGAGCGGGTATTTGATTGCGAATGCCTTTTTTTTTTTTTTAAGTGGAGGGGGCGGGGCTTTTCAGAAATTGGCAAAATTCCTCCACAATACCTTTAAGGTTGGAATGAAAAGAGTGAGAACATGAGTGCGCCACCTACTGGCTGGGAGGAGTTAAACTGGCAGTCATGTCCTTTAAGCAGAGCTGCACACATCCCAGCAGGAAGTCAAGATTATAACAGCGAAATGATGAGAATTTTCTGAAGTGTAAGCAGGAAGCAAAGGAGTGAAGGTGTGAGGTGTATGTAAAGGAGGTATTTTCGTATTTTTTTGTGCCGATAAGATGTTTCCGCTCCAGGTTTTATGTGTAGCTGATGGCGGTTACTGGTGTCTGACGGAGCAACATTGACCTCCTTTGTTTTTGATTTAAAATGCATTGATCCAAACACCAACCATGGTGGTTTTCATTGACTAAACCAAAGAAGAAGAACAGCTTCCAGCGTAGGTTCCCTTCACTGGCTGTGCAGGGTGAGCAGGTCAGGAGATTCACATTAGCTGCACTGAATTTGGTACCGGATTAAAGCCAGTTTTCACTCATAATTTATCACCTGAGGTAATCACTCTGTAGTGGTTACCATGGAAACAGTGGTGGATGACCGGCTGTCAAAGACCTGGAAGTTGAGAGTTGCACCCTTGGTCAGGTAAAGCCAAGCGAGAGAACGCCCCCCTTGAGACAGCAGCGAGAGAGACAGAGATAGATGGTCAGGAGACGCCCCTCCTGCTGCTGGGCGGGAGGAAGGGGGGGTGGGGGTGGGAGGGTTGATGGGACAGGGAGAGACAGATGGATGAATGGAGGGGTTACCTTTGTTGCGATTTTCGGGGGGTCCTTGTTTTTTACCTGTTCGGACAGAGAGAGAGGGCGGAATGCTGATAAGATGGCTCAAAGGAAAAGATCCAAACAAACTGAGGGAGAACACAAAATTCAAACTGATCAAACCTACAGGTGTGTGTGTGTCGTGTGTGTGTGCTGTGGGCGGGAATGGACGGGTCGGAGGAGAGAGCCCCCCCCAAAGTTCCCCGCTGCTGAGAACCGGCTGCACTCAGTTCATGTTTTCCAGCATGGCGACCTTCCTGCTGATGGATTGCAGATCTAGGATCCAGTTTCTGGGTCACAGTTTAACAACAGAACCATTCAGAAGGACTGGGAAATAAAAGGGTCTTTGATCAGAATCTCTAACTGCTGTGAAAACCAGAAAATGGGTCAGATGTGGGTCAGGATGGGTTCTGTGGACCGTCTACATGTGGATCACATGAGGGGGCTAAAGTGAACCCACCCCGGTAATGAAGCTCCAGTTTACATCTTCTCCTTAACCAAAGTAGTATTTTCACACATATATACTAATCTCTAAACCTTAAAATGAATAAATATGCTTTCAGTCTACTTGTAAATATATTCATCAGTGAAGTACTATGTATATATACTTAACTAAGTATTTATACCACATATTTATGAGTATAGTTACCAAAACTAGGTTTATTTCAAGTTCCTATTTTCAATTATACTAAAGTTTAGTTGATATATATCCCAGCATATAGTCCAAGTTTACCAAGTTGATTGATGGAAGTTACCTTAAAATAATTCATATATAAAATGTAACATTCAGCTTAAAAGGACCCAAATCCAGCTTAAGAAGTTGGGCTAAATTTTCCTATTAACCCTAAAATTTGGTTTAATTTGGTATAATTACTTCAAACTTGTATTTTCTGTGGCATATCTTTCAGCTTTTGAGGTCGCATTGCATTCTGGGTTGATAAAGCAGTTAGGTTTTGTTAGACTAGAAGCTACAGAGTAAACACAGGAAGGCTAACGTTAGCTAAGTTGTTCGTGTCGCATGGTGTAAATTTAGACCATGCCACATATCTGCTGACACACTTTTGTGAGCCGTTATTCATCAGATATCTGTTGAAATAAACAAATGTGATTGATTTGTGATCTACTGTTTCATATTCCAAAAAAGTTAAAAAACAAAGTTTGAAGGCATTTCACTTCCCATCCAGGAAGCTTTTTCAATTTAAAATGTCAGAAACAGCGTTGAGTTCTAGGTTTTATAGATTGGACCAAAAACAAAGCCTTGTTTGGCTTAAAAAACATGCTAAATGAACTGGATGAAAGGGTCCAGCCCTTAGGAATGGGCAATTGTTGGGTTCTTTGTTAGCTGGCAATACCCCATACCTGTCTGTCTCTGAAAGGGGCGTTGCTAGAGGGAATTGTTGACCTGGCTGAACAGGTGAGGTGCTCTTTACCCCTGCATGGGGTTGGGGTCCTCCTAACATCCCCCTTTCAGAGACACAGACCGGTATCGGGTATCGCATGCTAACCAAGAAACAAACGACCCCCGTTCTAAAGGTGCGAACCCATTCGTCTGTTTCAATCTGCATGTTTTATAAACAAAATCAAGGATTTGTGGGGCTACTGTATATAACCTTGAACTCAACGCTATTTCTGACATTTTGAATTGAAAAACCTTCCTGGATGTGAAGAGAAACATCTTCAAAATTCCAGTGGATTGCTTTTTAAAATTTTTTGGACTGTGACATATTTTTTAAATAAGACCCCCCCCCCCCCCCCCCCCCGATAAAGAATCCCACTGTTCTTCGCGTATCAGAGTTGTCAAAATGGAAACATTTTATACGCAATAGAACATAAATTTAATATTTACAGCAGCGCTATTCAGTAAACCTAAAGGTTATTTTCAGTAAACTTTTATAAATGACAGGTAGAGTTTGATGTTAATATACATGGAAGACTACTTTAAGTATACTTCAAAGTAAACTTATATTGGACCAATTCAGTCCCAAAAGGTACATTTTTAGTATAATTTCATTAAACCTGGGATATGTATTTATGTATACCTGCAAATCTGAACTGTAAGTGTACGTAGTTTAGGTAAGGGCTGTTAAAAAAAGTTCTACCTGATGGTGTGAAGCTGTATGTTTTTGGAGGAATGAGGAGCTTAGAAAGCAGTTTGGGGTTTTTACAATAATAGTGTTGAAGTACCACACAATGGGTGTGTGTGGTGTTTCTAAGAAAATGCGTGGATGTGACCCAACATGAATCAACCTGTGTGTTCAGCTGACTGCTGCAGCCTTTAGTCTGGTTTGTGTCTGCCGTCATCAGCATTATAAGCAGCAGAAGGCGGCGGTGCAGCCATGTTTGTTTAACCAGAGAGATCTCCTCAGACTGAGGGTCTGAGTTCATTTTTGTCTAAAATCTGACATTTTTGCACTGGTTCTCCCCAACAGGATCCTGTTTAGGTTTGTTGGATTTTCCCCCCAATTTCCCCCCGAAAACATGTTAATCCGAGTTGACAGATAAACCGGGGGCTTTCTCTCTCCGCTGAGCTCGTACATTCAGCCGGTTCACAATGAATGCCTGACAAACTCAAACTTTAACCAGTAAAACAAATGATCAGACAAAAACAAACTCAGAAAACGGGAGTCAGCATGATCACGAGCAGATCAGAGCGAGGCCGACTGGAGGGGCTGGCAGGATGGAAATCAATCGGATCGCTGGGACTCTTCAGAACCGACTGTGAGCGTTAAAATGGCTCTGCGTCTAGAATCTACACCAGAGAAGAAGCTCAGTTCTGTCTCCATTAATCACCACAAATAAATGAAACCAGGATGTTGAAAAGTCCTGTTCAGCTCTCATCCATCTGTTAAAGGATGAATAGCAGCTTCTTGTGGGACATTAACCTAATAATTATGAAAAACCTTACTATTTTATTGTTTTTGAAAGCAGAGACATGATCTTAACTTAAATTACTGTCCTTCTGTGTTTAGAAGGTAAACAGGAAGCCAGTCCGCTCTATGCGAGACCTCCTTACAAAGATCTTCTATGCAGGAACTCTGGATGAGCTTCCAGGAAGGGAGCTGAAGCAGGGAGAACTCTGGGGCTATAAACGCTCATTTTTAGCAAGAAACATTCCGACTGTAAGGGAAACAGGACGGTTCATGAGCCTGCTGGGCACGGCGCTCAACAGCCAGACCACTGAGGTGACCAACAGAGCTGCATCTGACCTGAAACGGCATCAGCTCTGCTCTCAGCTGACAAGAACACCTCCTGGAACCAAACTTTGAGGTTCTGCTCAAAGCTTAAAGCTGTGTTGGTTTAACAGAACCGAGCTGCAACAGTTCTGTTTCCCAGAATTCACAGGTTTAATTTATTGGCTGATGATGGGAGACCTGATTGTGACCCTTCGGTCGTCCCTCCCACCGACACAAGCTGATGAAGAAAACCTGATCCTTTCTCTCACAGCTCAGTAGAACCACCCAGAACCGGACGAACAGCCCATTCGGGCCTCTCAGCTTTCTACAAACTCCTACATCTCATCTCCTGGTTTAGATTTTTCCACATCTTACCTTTTTTGACTTTCTTTTCATCGTCGTGCTCGCTGGAGCCCAGCAGGCTGAAAATGATGCCGGTTTGGGAGTTGAGTCCGACGGCCGACACCACCATCCTACCAGAACCTTCCATCACATGAGTCCCTAAGGAGAGGTTCACAGACACGCCGTATTTCCATCACTTTTGGGATGTTTGCAGAAGTAAAACCAAACGTTAGCTGTGAAGCCGTGTGACTGTTTCACTCACCAGACAGCAACATGGGGTCCTTGTTCAGAGATTTGCGGACCTGATCCGACTCTCCGGTCAGGGAGCTCTCATCCAGCTTCAGGTCGTTGCCTTGGATGAGGATGCCATCAGCTGGCAGCAGGTCTCCTGCAGGAGGGGGTCAGAGGTCAGGGCTGCTGCTGGCAGCAGAACTATTCTAGGATTTATGGAACCGAGACTTTAAACCCGGTTTATTTCCTGACTGAACTCAGACATGTTTGGACTGTTAAGCAGGACTCTGATGGGATTTATGTATTCATTTAATTGATAATCAGAAAAACGTTCTAATCCTTAAATGTTCATTTCTGGAAAAGCAGGATTTCCTTAACAATTCGTAGCAGAAACCCTGAAAGAAATGATGCTTTCCTTCTTTAAAGCTACAGTGTGTAATTTTCAGCGACATCTAGCAGTCAGACTGCAGACCGCAGCAACATGAACATCTCCCCCCCACCGCTTCTCCCCCCCAACAGTACGGCGAGCGTTACGGAACAAAATGTCTTCCACGACATCCGCATCACCTACCTTCTCAAGTGATGAGGTTTGTTTACATAGATCATTTTACAGATAGTATTTCATTAGTCTGTGTGTTCAGTGCCGTCTCAGTTCATCTCTCTCAACTTGCCGTAGTTACTTTCGAGCGTAATGGGAGATCTTGCAATCACTAGTTTGATGGCTCTGCGCTGCCGTAGCGCAAAGATGTCTGCCTCCATGGCTGCGGGACCCGCTCCTATGTAATTATAAATAACGAATTCTAAGGCAACGCAAATATTAAGGTGAAGAGGCTGAGCTCGTAGATGATGATAAATAACATAGTTATGTATAATATATTACATTTCTGACTGTATATCCCTGTAATTATTACACACTGTAGCTTTAACTTTGTGTCCAGACAGGCAGTAGAAGCTAAACCTTTAATCTTAAACTGTGCTGCTAATGAACAGAACCCGTCCAGTCATAATCCGTCCATATCAGCTGGAGTCAGCCTGATTCTGGCCGCCCTGAACAGAGAAGTCTCCCTGCAAAGCTTTAAACATCACTGCCGACTGGTGAGCTGTGCTGGGTCAGAACCAGTCAGCAGAACCTGAACCTAAAGCCTGCTGATTTCAGTTATTTCCTTTTGTGAAGCTTTTCTTCAGTTTACCGTCAGTAAGATGGAACAGTCTTCACCAGAACTTTGTACTGGTTTGTGGTTTTATTTCAGGTCTAAAATATTCATGAATCAAATGTTTATTATAGCTGATCAAAGTCCTGCGGTTTGGTACCAGAAGGACTGGGTCTGATCTGCTGGCTGGTTGGCGAGCAGAAGTTCTGATGAAGCTGTAGCATTAGTCCTGGTTAACAGAACCTTGACTGTGAGTGGTTGAAGCAGGAAGAACCGATAGAAGGAGGCGTTTCCGTTCCTCACCGTATTTGATCTGAGCGATGTCTCCCACCACGATCTCGGCCACAGGGATCTGGATCACCTGACCTTTGCGGATGACCGTGAACTTCTGTTCTTGTTCGATGCGGCTCTGAAGCCCGCGGAACTGTTTTTCTTTGGACCAGTCGTTGAAAGCCGTCACCAGGACCACGATGACCACCGAGAACAAGATGGCGGCGCCTTCGATCCAGCCAGCCTGGGCTTCTCCCTCGTCCTCCACGCCGCCGGCCGCCTGGCCACATGCTGCCCAATCACAGTTCATCAGATCATTGCTCACATACAGAACCGTCTGAATCTGGAGAAAGCTACTGGGTCATTTAACCAAAGCTAAACTTTTATTAGGATGAGAGAAACTTTAATGTTTGCCTTTAAGGAGCAATAAACAAAACTTGATCATTTTAGATAATAACATCTTTGTGAAGAACTAAAGGCATCTTTTCAGACGGACTTTGGTGAGACGTCACACACCATCTCTTTAAGTTGTTCTTCAGTCTTGTTTCCATAACCAGGCCTCTAAGGCTGCAACTAACAATCATTTTCTAATCGATTAATCTGTCGACTGCTTTTTTGATTAATTGATTTTTAATTATATAGCAAAAGGTTCCTAAAAGATTTTTTCATAATTCTAACCAGTGAAAGTTACACTTTCACTTGAAGAGGTTTGGATTATAGAGCATATTAATGGACAAAAACATTTTTCATTTAACTTAAATGCATAATGTAATTCTTTATTTTGGTAGAATTACTGCTTTAGTCTCTATGCTTCTATTAACAATTAATCGATTACCAAATTAGTAAACAATAACTTTAATAATGGATTAATCTGATTGAACCTAACCGAGCTAACACAGTTAGCATTGCTAAATGCAGCCTGGCAGTCGGTGAGCTGCCCACCATGATGCTCACCTACATTCAGAACGTTCTCTCTCAGAAAACTGGTGCTTAGATTTTCTGATTCTTTTATTTCAATCTGTAGGGTGATCAGGTAGCCGCCTCTGCTCCATGTAATCAGTCAGAGGCTTTACACAAACCCCCTCTTTTTGTTTTCGCATTTAAAATCAAAATGATGAAACAAGGCAAACAATTGAATAAAATGTAAATAAATATATTAATGCAATAAATGGAGTAGTAGATTATGTTCCAGTCGACGTAATGTGTCTTAATTTCACAGGAGGAGTTGATCAACTCATTATTATTATTTATTAGTAAAACAAAATAAACTGTGTTATTTTATTTAGCTGGAGAGAAAGTTTGATTAAAATGTGTTGTTTTGGTTTACAGACAGCGCTCAACATCGCCCCTAGTGGTGCAATTTCACTTATTGCTCCTTTAAATGCCAAAGCAATGTTTTCCATCTAGTTCAAATATACTTTTTAATCATTACGTTCTTAAAAAAAAAAAGAAACTCATAAAAGCCATAAAAATTCATAGAGTTAACAGTAAATATATTCAACCATATTAATGGAAGGTCGGGTGAAAGGAAAAAGTGTGTTAAATAACAGCTGGGAAAGGTCAGGCTGAGCCCATTGGAGGGTTTAGAGCAGATTCATCAGGAGGCAGATCCAGAACATGCTGCCATGTTCCAGGTGTTAATCTGTTCCTCAACCAGAGCAGGAACTTTGCTCAGTGGTTCAAAGTTTTCATTTCATGTGGAAATCAAGGTTCCAGAGTCTGAAGGAAGAGCGGCGAGACTCAGGATCCACATCGCTTTGACTCCAGACTGATGTTACCTCAGTGATGTCCCATCATCTGCTGGTTCTGGTCCACTGGGATTACTGAACACAACCATCCACTAGAATGTTCTGGAGCATTTTAAAGCTCCCTTCTTCTGATAAGGAGACTGATTTATTTTCCTAGTAACTTTTATAAGTCAGCCTCAGCAGATGGCCGCTCACACTGAGCCTGGCTCTGCTGGAGGTTTCTTCCTGTTCAAAGGGAGTTTTTCCTCTCCACTGTCGCTACAAGCATGCTTAGTGTGAGGGATTGCTGAAGAGTCAATGAATCGATGCAATCAGCTGGTTTTCCTTAGATAGAAAACTTTGAATCAATCTGACTGGATGATCTGGTTGAACTGTAAAGTGCCTTGAGATGAAACGTGTTGTGAATTGGTGCTATAGAAATAAACTGAATTGAATTGGATAAGTAGTATTGATGAGAGGAAGATTAAAAGAACCAGAACCAGCAACTTGGGTTTCCAGAACAGTAATTCAAGTATAAGGAGCCTGATTCCTGTTTGGGAAACTGGATCAGTTTATGTCCTGATGGATCCTGGACCATGTTTGTCAATCTCTCATTTACGCTGCATGTTGATTAAAATGAGCAAAACAATCCACATTAATGAAAACTGACCTTCAGCGTTGCCCCCTGGTGGATGGTAGAAGGACAGGCCCAGTGAGATGATGGCGGCGATTTCTAGGATAATTAGTGTTACGTCTTGAAGCGCCTCCCACACCAGCTGCAGGAAGGTCTTAGCCTTTTTTGGAGGGATGAAGTTTTTCCCGAACGCAGCGTGACGTTTTTCCAAATCAGTCGGATTTCCTGACAAACCTGAAAAACAAACAGCAGAGTTGAAACGTTACGTGTGAGGACCGATACAAGCCGGCAGTCCTGACGTGGGAGAGCTGCTGCAGATCAACAGACAGGCGTCATGCAGAGAAATACCTGCCTGCTGAGAATTACCTCCCCTCTCAAAGACTGATGAGAAAAAAAGATTTAAATATGAACGAAAAGCGAACTTAAACATATTAATGTTTTCATATTTCTTATGCATGGATGCCATAAAACTGAGAGATAAATGCTGAGGAATGCCTGCAGCTGAGAATGACCTCCCCTTTACTGGGAGCATGCATCGCCCTAAGCTCTAACACATTGATGAGAAAACAGATTAAAATATCGGCCAAACAAGGGAACTTTTTAACATATTGGTAAATATTCCATTCATCCAGGTCAAAGTCATTCCAAAAAAGTTCAAAAACAATCCACTGGACTTTGTTTCCAAGCTTGAAGACATTTCGCTTCCCATCCAGGAAGCTTTTTCATTTCAAAATGTCAGGAATAGCGTTGTTTACACAGTTGTATAAAACAGTTGTTTTAGTTTAGCAAACATGCTAATTGAAACAGACGAACGGGTCCACCCCTTTGGAATGGGGGTCGTTTGGCTTCTTTTATCAGCCTGCAAAGCCCCGTACCTGTCTATGTCTCTGAAATTGGGTTCATTCCCTACAGGGACAGAAGACCTCGCCTGTTCAGCCAGGCCAACGATTCCCTTTAACGCCCCCCCCCTTTCAGAGACATAGACAGGTTAGCATGCTTTCTGAACAAAAACGAAGGATTTGTTGGGCTGCTGTATAAAACCTCAAACTCAACACTATTCCTGACAATTGAACTGAAAAAGCTTCCTGGATGGGAAGTGAAAAGTCTTCAAACTTGGAAACAAAGTCCAGTGGATTTTTTTTTTTTTTTACGTTTTTGGAATTTTTAACATATTCCTAATGTTTTGTCAGAAATAATATAGAATGGTGTTGATATATAGCAAAATTGGAAAAGCCCTCCACTGCATATATTGATCGGACGCTGACTGTAGCACATCCACTAAAATGTATCTCCATGTGAGTAAAAATCATATTTATTCGAAATTATCTTTCCATCGGGACTCAATTTTATGGCATCCATGCTTTAGAAATATAAAAGCATTAAGATGTTTGAAAGTTCCATTTTCATTCATATTTCAATCATTTTCAGTGTGCCTCTAGAAGCAGCCTGGTCATAATGTTATGCCTGATGGGATGAATTCATTCTGGGTTTGCGTGTTCTGGTACCGCTCATGGATTTCTGTACAGCGATGAGGCCAGGGCAGCCTTAACTGACCCTGACCGAGCTCCAGCTGGAAACCCGATCTGCTGGTCCACCGGAGCCAATAATCAGCACCTGGTGGTCCCAGTCTGTGTTCAGGCCGACACACTGAAACAGTCTGCAGCCAGGATGCTTCCAACAACAACAAGCACACCTCAAAGATCCTTTCTACAGCCACAGGTCGGCTCTGTAGGCCCCCCCCAGCAGGGACGACTGTTTAGCTGAACGTTGCTCCACAAATACCAACATGGACGCCTTCAGACAGAAGACAAAGGCCTTTGTTCAGGCAGAAACACGTAGGGGAGGGGTTACAGTCAGCTCTGTTTAATCCATTTTTTTTAAAATAATCTAAACTAAAGGAGTTTAAAAGCTCCCTTTACATCTATTGGTGAAGATTATCAGTCATGCAAGTCAGTCATTCTAAAAAAACGTTCAAAAACAATCCACTGAAGACGTTTTGCTTCCCATCCAGGAAGCTTTTGCTGACATTTTAAATGGAAAGATTCCTGGATGAGAAGCGAAACATCTTCAGTGGATTGTTTTTGAACTTTTTTGGAATCCCTTTACATCCACACCAGAAACCGGGTTGATCCACAGCAGGGCTGATGCACTTAAACACTTATGCTATTAATCTTCATAGCGATAAAAGCAACAAGGAAAAAAAACACATTACTTTTCGCAGCCTTTCGTGGATAACAATACAATACTCCTCTAAATGCAAACATTTAAGTTCTTCTTCAGGACACCAGTTAAATAAAAAGTAGGATTTATAAAAATCTTGTAGTAGCCCTATATAATCATATTCTTCAAACATGAAATACCCCAATGCAGGGCAGGGCAGTTCGCTGCATTTGCAATATAATTATAATTTAACAAACGCAATTTTCAAATCACAGGGAGTCTCAGTTTAACAAGAGTTAGAAACTATATTTCTCATTTCAGCCCTTTAGGTGGTGCTAAAACTCTTGAAGGGGGTTTGTCATTAAACAGGAAAGTAGAGTTGCAGTTAGCATGCAGATCCGTATATGAAAGTAAAAATAAGGACTTTTTCGCCCAAAGGTTACAGTAAAATTCTGCAACAGTAGATTTTGGGCAATCAAGGTTTAAAAAACTAAAAATCTGGAGTGAAAAATTTACAAGCTTGGGGTTTGTGCCACAGAAAATCCACAAACGATAAAGGAGTCTATGCTCACCCCACGTTCCTCGCTCATTTTTTTTTCATCTCAACTGGTCCAGAAACAAAAATACAGTTTAAAGTATGAACGTTAAAAAGCGGTTATTCCGTCTGCATCATTGCTTTGACTGCAGAGTCATCCCAGTATTTCTACAATACCTGAGAAAATCTTCAAATAACTGCCTGATGTCTCGCTAGGAGTGTAAATAATCATTTTGCATCGATCCAACAGCCAACAATCCAATGCATCGACACGTTCGCAAGAGTACCGATTCATGTTTTTCCCCCCCCCCACCACTCTATTTTTATCCATTTGCTCCTGGACGTAATTCTCCCTCCAGTGCTGCGGTGGCGCTAAACCTATTTTACCTTTCTACCTCGCTTCCTTTAGCCACTACCCTCTTTCTGCTTGCAGTATTTTTTGATGCAAGGCCTTTCAAAACCTATAACAAAATATATATATATATATATATATATATATATATATATATATATATATATATATATATATATATATATATATATATATATATATATATATATATATATATATATATATATCAGTGAATGAGGTTTTCATAGGCCTAGAAGGACTATAATTTTGCTACTTCTGTTATTTGCTGTTGTTTCTCAAATAAAATGCATAATGATATATCAAGGTTTAAAAAACTGAAAATCTGGAGTGAAAAATCAACAACTTGGGGTTTGTGCCACAGAAAATCCACAAAAGTAAAAATCACAATATTGGTCGATATTTGGATTTTTTTGGCAAAATCGTTTAACCCTACCAGATAAAAAAAAAAAAAAAAAGAATTCCCCAAGTATCTATAGAATTTTTAACGACACAGATTCCAATTCTTAATTTAGAAAATAAATAAAAATCCTTATGATTAGAAACCAAGCACAATAACGATAAAGGAGTCTATGCTCCCCCCACGTTCCTCGCACATTTTTTTTTATCTTAACGGGTCCAGAAACAAAAATACAGTTTAAAGTATAAACGTTAAAAAGAGGTTATTCCGTCTGCATCATTGCTTTGGACCGAAATGGAAAAACAGGATGAATAAGAGGGACGATGGTGAAGCCATGTGAGACCAGTGAGTTAGCATAAGCTACTGAGCACAGATTCAAAATCAGTCTGAACACCTTAAAGAAGAAAATAAGCTCAGAAATCAAACAATGTTTATATTCTAAGACCAGCAGGGTATAAAATAAATCAACATATTTCAGTAAAACCAGCTAAATATAAGATATAATGGCTTTTTCCACTAAAAGCAGAGGTGTATTTTGGTAATAGCGGTGGACTGCTGCTCTCTGCAGCACTGGAGCAGCAGTCCAGCTGCCTGCAAGGAGCTGCGGAGGAAGCATAATGAGGTCGGCAAGATGGATTTTAAAAATATACCAACTGTCAAAGTCTTCATTATCAATATTTTGTCACACGGTGGATGAGATCACAGCGCGGTTTGATCATTTAAATCCCAGTCTGATGCTGAAAGCTACCGTCACACTAAAATAGAAGAAAGAGCCGCATAAAGAACCTTTCCTCCTCGCTTTCTTTTTTTGGCTCAGACTTCTGGTTCTGACGGCAGGTTTCATGCAGGTTCTGGCAGCAGCTTAGCGTTGCTCAACGTCCCAGAGGAGAAGAAAATTACAGCTCCGAGATAATGTTCCAACATCTGCAGAGCGCCTTGCTGCACACCAGCCCGTCACAGCTGTTTCTGAACCAAACGTGGATTGTTGCAGATCCTGAAGGTGTCAGATTTAATCTGCAGTGATATGAAGCCACCCACAGCTTCCAAACACCAGCCTGTCTTCATGCAGAGCAGCGCGGCTCAGCAGGCAGCGAGAGTTCAGAGGTGGGCTGGAGGGAGGAGATCCACCTGCTGCTGACCATAACGGCATGACGGGGCATCGTCATCAGGACAAGGCCTGTTAGTGGCACGGACATTAGGAGGACCAACATGGCCGACGCTCCCCTATAGAGCAGCTTTGTGACCGACGCTTTCCAAACAAAGAAAACATCCTTAGTTCAACTCATCTATTTTTGCATAATTCTGGCTTTCTTTCCGTCTCTGCTGAGCTTCTGCGTGGCCTCTAAGATCATTTGTAAATTACTCCCATTCCAAGCACAGTTTTTTTTTCAGTTGGTTCCGTCTGTGTTTATAAATCAAATTTATTCCATTAGGTTTCATCTGCAGCGATGATCTCAGATTCTGCAGGAGCTGTAGTAAATTCTGTGGCCTTGTCTTAGTGACTCTGATGCAGCTAAAGGCAGATTTACATGCAGCAGCTGCAGCTGGGTCGGTGTCGTCACGGTTTGAACGTGCTGATGCTGAACTTTTAGCTTTGAAACGCTCTTTTTTCCTCTCTCCGACGAGCTCAACCTAAAACCAGCCTGTGATTCAAACCAAAAGGTGTTTATTAGGGGTGCCCAGATAAAACATTTTCCATTTTAGATATTACAGCTTTTAGAATTGACCAAAACTGATAATGAGCCCATCATACAAGCTTTTATTGCTTA